GAGAGAAGGTTAACACTCCCCTTGACAAGGATGGAAGAGGCCCTTGGGCCTGACAACATGCCTATGGTTCAGGCATTTCCACCTACTTTATGGCACCTTTTTCACAAACTATCATTTTAGTTATGAAGCTTGATGTTTTAGATTCCCTCTGTGTTTTTTTGTTTTGTTTTTTGTTTTGTTTTTGCAGAACCAGGGATTGAACTCAGGCCCTTGTGCTTGCCAGGCAAGTGTTTGTTCCACTGAGCCATCTCCCCGGCCCTTTCCCTCTATTTTTAAGGGGCACTGTACAGTGTTTATATAAAAGTAAACTGTAGAGCATTGCTAATTTCTCTTACAAAAATGAGACAACTTAAATCCTTGCTGAAAACTCAATGACATTTTCTCTCAGATTTAATCAATATTTCACAGAACAGAATTCTATTTACTACAACAAAACCAAAACATCTGGAAATCCTTCACACAGCATAAATAAGCAGAGTGACTTGAATAAGGCATGAAATTCAGTGGGTCAGCCACCATGCTGATTCAACTGCTGAAGACAAATATAATTGAGAGGCAATCACAAGTAATCATACAATCCTTTGGGGAAGAAAAGGTTAAGATGTTTTCCATCAGCCAATAAATTAACATGATTAATTAAAAGCAAAACATGTGTTTCATTAAAACATTCACAGAAATTATGTGTGACTGTGACTATACAGATCTGTAAGAATTCGTACACATTTACTATTACTCTTCTCCCGTCTGATACAGAAATAAGAAAATATTTACATGTGTCAGAAAGCCTCAAGCTAAAACAGTTGTGTGATAATACTGCAGGAAAACAAGAGCCAATCTTATAACACATTTTATTTTCTCTAGGTCTCTACTTTCTATGTCTCCCTTTTTCATTAAGATATTATTTATATGTAACTTAAACTCATCAACTTTAAACACAGTGTGACAAACTTTGCTAACAGTATACACTTCTCCAATCAGCACCACAATCAACACAAAATGCTCTCCTCCTTGCAAATGTCTTCAGAAAACTTTGCGCTCATCCTGCGATCTGCTGTCACTAGTGTTGCCTTTCTTAAAATAGCATATAAGTGGGAATCACACAGTATCTTATTTTTCATATCTTGACTTTTTAACTTAGCATACTTTTGAGGTTCATCTGTGTTTTAAGTTTGTTAGAATTTCTGGTCTTTTATCACTTAGTACTGTTAGACCATGTGGATGTAGCACAATCTGTTTACTTACTGACAAGTTGCTAAATATTTTTGTTCCAGTTTAGGCTATTTGCCTAAGCCACTCAGAACACTCAGCTGTATGTCCATGTGCAGATACCTTATTTTCAGTTCTCACGGGTAAATATCTAGGAGTGGTTTATATAATAAATAAATGTATTTTTAGTTTTATAAGGTAATACCATACTGTACATGTATTCTAATACACGTACACACTGCATTAACTCAAACACTGAATGTTTATGTGCCCTGAAAATCCAGATGGAAGCCCTAACTCACAACGTGATATTGTCTGGAGATGAGGTGGGGTCATGATGATGGAGACCCGGTGCACTTGGTTGTAAGCAGAGATGAGAGAGTGAACTTTCTCTCACCAAACGTGCAGAGCAAAGGCCATCAAAGGACACCCTGAGAAAGCAGCCATCTGTAAGCTGGGAAGAGAGTTCTCATCACGAAATGAACTGGCCAATCAGAGGATGGAGGACTCTCCGAGCCTCAAGAACTGTGAGAAATAAAATTTTGTCTCCCAAGCTTCCCATTCTGTGACTATGCTACGGAAGCCAGAGAAGATGAAAACACTCCACAGCTTAAAGAACGTGTGACGCTGTCAGCACTTTCAATGGAAGCCATTCCAGTGCACGTGTGATGGCAACACGATGCGCTCTTAATGTGCACTTTTCCCAGCACAGGCGTGCAAAAACATATTCCTGCACATGAATGT